TCGCGGCTCTTCTTCTCGAGCTGCCGTACATAGCCCTCGAAGAACGTTTCCAGTGCTCTCCACCTCGCGATGCGGCGCTCCTTCCGCGCCGCCTTGAGCATCGCCTTCAGGGTCGCTCGAAGGCGCTGTTCTTTGAGGCCCCACGCAGTTACTGCTGGGCCGCCTTCATCTCCTTCGACGCTTCGGAGATCTCGTGCTGCGCTTCGCTCGTGTACCAACCTCTCTGACCTCGTGCGCACCTCGCCAGCGGCGCGGTCGTAGCAGCGACCGACATCACCATAGCCGTCAGCTCGGCGGCGGTCTCTCCCGTTGGCCGCCTGAGCGCCGTGGGCGGAGGGCGGCTGGAGGCCTTGTTTTTGAAGGCGACCCATAGGTGTTTGTCCTTCNNNACATTACGCACGAAACGCCGGTCCGTCTGACGCATGAGGATGAAGTCGAGGCAGTGCTTTTCCTTCCCCTTGATGGAGCTTTGGAATGTGTGCTGCACTCCACCTTTCGGTGTCCGGAAGTAGGTATTGGTCAGGGAGAGTTGGTTGTCTGATGCCAGTCCAAGGAGTCGTTCCCCGTTGTTGTTCATAGTGTCGTGCCCGTACGCGCCCATAATCTTGGCATCGCAGCACCCGTCTCGCTTCCTACCAGTGCGTGCGTTGGCGTCCATTGGCACCACGAGATGGTCATGGCTGTGAACCTCCCGCATCACTGCGTCGAGAGCAGTCCAGAAGGATTCCTTGGCGTGAACATCACCGCCCGCGTTGGTGCGGACAGTTTCTGTGGGGGCGTACCCCACCACGAAAGTTACTCCGCAGGTGCGGCCAATTTGTAGACGCACCTTCATCAGCCTCGGGCTAATGCACTCCACCGTCCTACCTTCCTCGCCCACACTCTCCCACATGGCCTCCTTGATCGCTATGCCCACACCGTGTACGCCCCTCTTGTCCTTGGTGCCAGCACGGGCGCCACTCCAGATGATCACGTACCCGTCGTGTGCAATTGAACCTTGCCCCTCTCGTCGGGTCTCCTGAAGTCCTATCACATCACAGCCGGTCGCCGAACAAATCTGCATGACCATCATCACGTTGTGACCGATGGGGTTCCTAGCGCTGTAGGCGAGCGTGCGTACGTTGAACGTGCCGAACGATAGGTGGCCCTCTCGTGCCTTCTTCTTCGCATCCGCCTTGACGGCCGCTGCGGTTTCGTGGCTCTCTCGGTCCACCTTGCGTTGCGGGTGTGCTTTCTTCCGTCTTTTCCGAGCGGCGAGTTTCCTCGCATCAATCCATCTCTGCAGAGCTCGGTTCTTGCCTGTGGTGTTTTGACGAGGAGGGTGCAGCACTCCCTCCCCGCGGTGCCCGCGGTTGTCTCCCTTCTCCCGCGAGCGGTGCTTACTGACGTGGTGTTTACGAATCTCTCTACTCCTCCAGCTTCGTGGGCCACGCTTTCCGCGACGGTGGTTGCCAGGTGCAGTTTGCCGCTTTGCATTACTGCCGCGGGAACAGTGTCCATACACAGCTCTCGCCACTACCACCTTCTGTGCATCCTCACCGCCACGCTGAGCCAGCGCGGCGGTGAGTTGCACCTTGGGACACCACCCACCTACTATCTGTTGTGGCCTGGTTCGCCCGCGAGGGACTCACTACGTCGATCTCGGCCCCGGCCGGGGAGCAGGCCGAGGGGGGGAAGGTGTGGTAAAGATGGTTGAATATGAGACATGGATCTATGGAGGTTGCAATTGGTAGATTGCGGAGGAACAGGGAGTTCTACTTGGTTCCTTCGGAGATTCGATGGGTGATCTGAATTGCGTGACGGATGAGTGTTCTGCTTTTCTCTTCGGGTCCTCGGACACAAGAAGTGTTCTCTGCTGTCCCCTCTCCCTGATAATACAAGACTTTCTCATCTCGGCCCTCACTGGCCGAGCTGCCTTTCTCCACAAACCCTCAAGCTTCGGCCTACCCGGTTTACCCAACAAACAAGCTACAAGAGGCCGCACGTGAAGGGTCGACTTGGCTCACCGCTGCCATCCTCTCAACTAGATCGATCGACGTTGACGGAGGCGATTCCTCGGGTGCGACCCCTCTCATGCACGCCATCTGCAACAATCACCCGAGCGTTGTCAGCATCCTACTTAGCAAGGGAGCGAGTGTTTCAGCGACCAACGATGACGGCAATACCGCGTTGCATCTTTCGGCCTTCGGGGGGTACGTGGTCGTGACCAGGATGCTGCTCAAGGCAGGGGCGAGCGTGTCAGCCACGGGTGCTCAGGGTGCCACACCGCTTCACTTCGCAGCAGAGAAAGGGCATGTGGAGGTGGTGAAAGAGCTGATGCACGCAGCCGCTGACGTAAACAGCCGCATGCCCAGCGGAGAGACACCGTTGTACGGTGCAGCGTGGGCGGGATGGGTCGACGTTGTCAGGGAACTGCTCCGCGCGAAGGCCAACCCTTTGCTGACTAGAGTGAATCTGGCCTGGCAGCACCTTCCCTTGGACACAGCTGCTCAGAACGGGCACTTCGGAGTTGTACTCGAGCTGCTTCAGAGGTTCGGGATCCGGGGCTGTGGCGGTGCAAGCGGTGGCGTGACAGCCCTGCAACTTGCTGCCATGAAATCCCACATTGACGTCATGATCGCCTTGACAACCGCCGGGGTGGTTGACACAGGCATTGCCCTGGTCAAGGCTACCAGCTTTGACCACATGGATGTTGTGAAGTTCCTATTACAGTAGTAGCAGAACGGACGCCTTCAGGAAAATCCGTGTACGTAAGCCGCCCGCGTGACCCTTGCGGCGGCACACCTTTGATTTGCAACATCGGCGAGCTTATGCAGGCTAGTGGTGATAAGATGATTTGTAACAAATCGCCATCAATGCTTACATTATTGGCTCGATATGTTGTTGCCTATATACCAGGTACAGTGCTGGTGCTGTGTGACTGCGCCCCGCCCCCCCCGCCAGCGCTTTTTTGTCGATCTTGACTGTTTTCGGGGTCTTTCGCGGTCATTCTGTAACACAACAATCAGGATGCATCAAGCCTTGGTGTTCTGTCAAGCCTTGGAATTCCTTCAATCAAGGTTAGATATCCGAGGAGTTCGGGGCTTTTGGCTGCGGAGCAGCTGCGCCATCCTCCCGTTCTGATTGCGGCCCCAACAGCAAGCAATTGCCGTTGCTGTAGCAGCTAGCGCTCGAGCCCGCCCCCATCGATCAATGTGTGCATCGTTGCTCTCTCGCGGATTCTGGTCTGTTTTCTGAAACCCTCGTGCTATTCCAGGTTTGCAGTCAAGCTTGATGGAAAGCCGTAAATCGTCGGCCGTCGACTGGATGGTTTCATTAAGCGGTGTGTGAGTGAACTACCAGAGTACGGGTGGCCGTGCCGCTGGGCTTGAGTGGTCAACGATAGCTCCTCGCGACCGGAAGATGCAATTGCTAGCGATATAGCCGAAACAGTACAACAGAGTTGCGGGTGGTTGCAAGCCTTCGTGTAAATTTCGGGAACCCTTACCACTTGGGGTAAGCTAATGCTGAGAGTTGATCGTGGTGGTTTAATATTCTGTCTTACGTTGTTTCAATTGCTTTGTTTCTCGCTCATGATGCGGAGAGACTGCTGATTATTCCGGGGCTATGCACGGCTATCGAGAGGAGCAGCCTCCACTGTTGTAGTTCATCGTCTGGAATGTCGTATTGAAATACTGTGCAAGACACAAGATATCTTAGATACCACACCCCAGGGATCACAGATTCACAGGGTGTTGTATGCTTTATCTGGTGTAGCCCGGGTGATAAAGCGCAGGCGGGAGCCATGAAAGGGGGGTGATAACCAGGGGATGTGATTTCACTGCTGCACGCTCGCAGAGACAGGAGGGGTGTGGTAAACAGGAGGGGTACTGATACCGCTTATATAGTTATTCTTACGGTGCCTGATGCCACAAGTGCAGCAGGCGTGGTATTCAGGGGGCGTGATGCCACTGTGTGCGAAAGAGTTGTCGTACTACTGCCGCATTTGCGGGGTGCGTGGTAGGAGCGGGGGTGACACCATTGACTACAGTGAAATGGTGAGGGAGAGGGGAGGTGACAACCCGCCTGATCATGTGACCCGCAGCGATGAACAATAACAGCGCCAGCATCGAAACAGCGAAAGTGTTGGCCATGTAGTAAACGAGGGTACTACGCCTGGCGCAATAGAGTTGTTGTTGTTGCTTTCTTCACATTAAACTCGTGTCAGTTGCTAATCCCAAAATCTAACAAAGACTCGGTCCGTGGTCACAAGAATGCCAGACCCATCAGAAAAGATCTGAAGAACACACTCACTACTAGCAAGAAAAGGGTACACAAGCCCGAGGAGGTAGACTACACCTANCACATTAAACTCGTGTCAGTTGCTAATCCCAAAATCTAACAAAGACTCGGTCCGTGGTCACAAGAATGCCAGACCCATCAGAAAAGATCTGAAGAACACACTCACTACTAGCAAGAAAAGGGTACACAAGCCCGAGGAGGTAGACTACACCTACAATCCCTGCAGCACGTTTGTTTGCGTGCTCACAACTGAACTACACGCCCACACACTACAATTCGACTACAGCAGCAGCAGCATCACCCCCCGTGTCCCGCATCGAACCAAAATGAATGTTTGTGAGCTACAGCGTACTGCTGTCTGAAGTGCTGTCTGTACAATAATAACACCATGGTGCATGCTACACAAGCTCGGGGCATGCAGCTGCTGTCTGAAGTGCTGTCAGAATGAATCCGTGGACATACAATGAAGAAGAACACCCAACCAGAGCCATCACTGCAATTGACAATCACCCGAATCTATCCAGATCATCTGTGTCAGGCAAAGCAGTGTAAACATCGTCACTGACTAGGAATCATTCCACATTGAAGGGGTCTTTAATGCAGGCACACAATTAAGGCACCCGGGTTATCCGTGCCGTCTCTCTACAAAACCAGTGACGTCATCACACACACCCAACACCAATATTCGGGAAAAAAAAAAATTGACAACACAAGAAATGTTTGTCCGTGCGCCACGGTTCGATGCCGTCCGCATGCTCCGGTTCCGCTGCTCCGTGCCGCTGCTCCGGTGCCGCTGCTCCTGTGCTGCTGTGGCCAGTCCTAGCACGACCAAACTCGACCCGCTCCGCTTCGTACATGCTCTCGTTGCTGTCCTTCCCAGTCGGTTCCTCGCTTTCTCCCGCGTTGCACTTTAGGANGCCGTCCGCATGCTCCGGTTCCGCTGCTCCGTGCCGCTGCTCCGGTGCCGCTGCTCCTGTGCTGCTGTGGCCAGTCCTAGCACGACCAAACTCGACCCGCTCCGCTTCGTACATGCTCTCGTTGCTGTCCTTCCCAGTCGGTTCCTCGCTTTCTCCCGCGTTGCACTTTAGGATTCTTGGTGTGAAAATTCTCGCGCCGAAGGGTCAACCAGCCCAATCAGCTCGTCACCACCTGTGCCCTCCTCCTTTGATAGCAAAACCAGGTTACCGAGACGTTACAGCTCCCTCTAGCAAACCAAGGACCGTGTACATAGTGCCCGTCCACCTTTCTGATGACGTCTGCCTCCGCGCACAAAGATGAGATGGGCATTGCTGCGTACACCGACGGCCTGGAGGCCCGCGCTTGCACCTTTGGACCTGACGCATCAGTGCCGACCCAACTCCACCACTACGCACACCTCGCGGCGGGTGCGCCGCAGCAAGAAGGTATCGGTCCCTTGAGGGTGAGTCTAGCCCTGCTCGCTAGAAAGACCCCCCCCCTCGCTATCATGGATCATGCCTACGCAAAACCTTCCCGAGGCAGCGAGGGGAAGAAGGGTAGATATATGCCGAGAACAAAGGGGAGAAAAAATCGGACACGTTCGGCCATGCGGGGTAGTGTCCCTGCACTCAGAAGGGTGCGCTGCATGCGTTCCCAGCTGGGCCTGCCCGCTTGGGATCAAGGACCATCGCTGTGTCATCACCGGGGTAACAGCTGCGTGGGGCCCGTGGTTACATGCGGCCTAGCACAGGTGTTTTCGGTTCCTCGTTTGATATACCAGGTAGACTATATCCTTTCTCACCGGGTGTATTTTGTGGGAGTGTCTCGTTTTTGTGGGTGTGGTACCTCGTGGTAGACTATATATAGGGTCGAATCCTTAAGGCGTTGTAGGGATCGATATTTTGGTCGGAGTCGGACAATAAGAACATCTCACAGTGGTTTACCAACCGACCGGGCCACTTTTTTCTCTCTCTCAATGTTGTAACCGACCGGAAGTAATCACGGGTTCTCCAATAGAGGGATGGTTCCTTGCAGGATAAAAAGGGTCGTCAACGTATTTTTCATGTGCTTCTATCTCTGTGCATGCGTGCAAGCTTAACGACCTGAGAGCTATGGAGCGGGCGGGATCCCGCTGGTGATGCGAAACTATTGCGCTTGAATGGAGAGAGGGTACGCCTCGGGGGGCCACGTCAGCTCTAAAGCGCGAGTGGGCCCTCCTTCACCGACGGCAATGGGCATAGAGCGAAGTCGCTGGAGTTAGTAGATTTGTGCTGCGAGAGACGAACGCCTGTGTGTGCTGTCGTGTTGGATGAAACAATAAAATTGGATAAGCCTCGACGCGGAAGAGCCTTGACCGGCGCCAGGCAACATGGGATCGGAAATATCACGCTCCTATCTTCACACGCACATTATGAAGATGTCCCCACGTATTTCAACACCTCTCTCCGGGTTCAGGGCGAATCCTGTACGTGGAGAGTAATGCGGTGGGTGTCGAACAAGTTTAAGGCCTGCTGGAGGATTGAGAAGTGGCGCAGACAACATTGTTTTTCTTAGAACGATTTCAACTTTTTCAGGGTTTGCATTGAACAAAGCAGGCAAACCCACCACGGCAATCAACCGGCTGGCAACGGTGTTAAAACTGCCCTTGCACAGACGCGTGAGAGTCTCAGCTTGTACCATGGGGTTCGGTTCGGGTGCCTAACCCGACATGGGTGTATCCTTCAGTTGGAAGCCGATTGTCGGGGCAAAAACGGCCAAAGAGCTCCAGGTATGCTACCGGACAAATTTCAACCCGGGCTGTTGCACGACCGTTGGGTTGGACATCAAAGCCGTGGGGAGGTTCGACAAGAATGGCGGGGTAGCTTCTGAGTTAAGAACTCGGAGGGCCTTACAAAGCAAGCCACATCCGCAGTCGGATCTCGCGTTGGCAACCGATGCACTCATTCGAAACAGGCCAGTAACATAATACTGACCACCAAAGATGCGAGAGGACGAGCGCAGGTCACGTGGCAATGACCACCCGGTCTGCATCCTTCCCCACATCCCCCACCCTCTCGCGGTCCCAGTCCATTGCACGCAATCCGAACCACTGTCGTCGGCTATAAAGCATCACCGTTTGTGTAGAAACAATCAGCACCAATCAAAGGGAACCTACTACACGCCAAGCCCGGTCCGCTTCCATTTGTGGCAGAACCTTGCTGGACAAGAGGTGCCATTGATCGTTCACTGTTGAGCAACGTGCGCATCAAAGCGCGAAGCACGAACGGTACGGCGAAAACTCGCAACACGAAGTTAAAACAAACACTTTCAAATACAGGTGAAGTTTCGTCTGCACTTGTAACGGGAAACCTCAAGCGCCAGTACCGACAAATTTAGTCAGGCTCCGGCTTTGCGATGACTTTGGTTGGTTGCAAGGGCATGAGTTCGTTATGTAGCCCCTAAAACTTGACAAAAACGCGCTCGCGGACCCACCCCCCCCACAAGGTATTCGTTCCCGCGTACGTCCTTTATTACCACGTACGGGCGGTCAGTATCTACAGAAGCAGGCGGCAGCAGGCACAGCAGCGGCGGCAGCGGTTGACTGGATCAGTTATATGGTAGACCGCATCAAATGATGAACTTCGAAAGGTCCGATCCTTCGAGCATGTCACTGACTCGCTCCTTCACCAGGTCGATGTCAACCGAAACCACTGTGCCCTCCTCCATCTCAGAGGCGTCGAAGCTGATCGTCTGCGTGACGAATAGACGGCAGACGATGATAGCGAACGAGCACAACGTGAGGAAGCGCAAGGGCGAATCTCCCTGGTCATGCGGCGTCCTGCGCCCTTCGAAGCGCGCACCAGAGCGACGAAATACGCCAAACTGCTGGCGAAGTCGGTTACTCACGAGTCAGCGACGCTTCTTTCGCTACACACGAAAACATCTCCTTCAGCGGCAGCAACGCCCAAAAACGCCCATGTGACGGGCGTCGAAACAAAGTTGCGTGAGAGTACACATGTTATGCACACGTAAAGGGCAAACTCGGGTGCGGCATATGCATACGATACCATAGTCAGAACAACGAACGACATTCAATTCGAAACCGATTTCGATCGCATACATACCTCGACAATTCGCTCGAGCACAGTGTGCAGCCTTCTCGCCCCGATGTTCTCCACCGTCTTGTTCACGTACGCCGCAACACGGGCGATCTCCCGGATGGCATCGTCCGTGAACCGCAAGTCTACCTGGCGCGGAACAAATAAATATGCGAAAAAACGAGAGGGGGGGGGGGGGGGGGTGG